AGGTCCTGAACCAAAAAACTATTAATTTGTAAGCAATATCGAGATAATTTCGATATAGACATTTCGCTGTCGGACTTCCTTACTAGTCGCGGCGGCGAACGTGAGTACCCGTGGCCTGCAAACGGTGCTGCGCGAATGGTCGCCTCGCCCACCGCTTCGCTGTTCGCACCGCCGATCCCCGTGGCCAGGCCGTAAGCCCTCGCGTCGTGACCGCGAATTACGTCATGGTTAGGAATGACAGACTTACCGCCCCCAAGAGCGGGATTGTCATTTACTATAGGCGGGCCCTGCACTGCGTCTCTCTCGATACTCCCTCGCTCTTACATATCGAGGCGTCAGTGTGCCGTATCTCGCTGACGGGACACCGGCCGATTGTCATCGCATCATTATACCTCCTCCCCGATAAGCCCCTCCTGAGCAGTGTCATCGAGACACTGCTCGGTATGGGTGACGCAGTTATTCTGGCAGGCGATCTTAATTTCCACGACACTAGGTGGAACTTGCATCGGACGAATGTGAACGATAGGCGTCTTGACGCGTTCATAGACGACCCCAACATGCTATCCGCACAGCACCGCGCTTCGTCCGAGCACAATAGATCTGGCACTGCTTAGGAACGTAACTCTGCGCTTGCGCTCCATCAAGGCACTGTCAGAACTCGACTCAGACCACCGACCTGTCGTCATGCAGCTCGGTCGCCCGCTCAACCCTGACTCAGTCACGAGGACCATGGTGGATTGGAAGAAGCTGGGCACGTGCTTAGCTGATGCCGCTCCACCAATCCTCCCCTGCTGTCCGGATTCACGTTCATCCCCCGAGGACACCGTCGAATCCATAAGCATCTTGACCGAACACGTCTTTTCCGCGATCATAAGATCTGCAAAACAAGTCGATGTGGAGGATTGCTTCCACTGCATCAGACTCTCTCCCGAGCTTAGGGATCTCTTAAGAGTCAGGAACGTGGCAATCCGGGCCTACGATCGATATCCCACGGAATTAAACCGGAATCGGATGCGTCGTCTACAGCGGAATTCAAATCCCGCCTAAACGACGCCCGAAATGAGAAATGCAATAGTTACTTAGAAGAACTCGCGCCCACTCACCAAGCATACTGGGGACTAGCTAGGACCCTCAAGCCTGAAACTATCGTCACTTTGCCTCCCCTCGTACGCCCCTCAGGCCAACCACCGGCTTACGATGACGATGACAAGGCAGAGCTGCTGGCTGATGCACTGCAACAGCAGTGCACCACCAGCACTCAATACGCGGACCCCGAACACACCGAGTTAGTCGACGGGGAGGTCGAGCGCAGAGCTTCCCTGCCGCCCTCGGACGCGTTACCCCCCATTACCGCGTCCGAGGTCAAGGAGGCGATCGAGAACCTACGGCCACGGGATGCTCCCGGCTCGGACGGTATCCGCAATCGCGCTTTAAAAATGTTACCACCACAACTAATAGCAATGTTGGCCACCATTTAAAATGCTGCTATGACGAACTGTCTCTTTCCCGCGGCGTGGAAAGAAGCAGACGTTATCGGTATACATAAGCCGGGAAAACTGATGAACGAAACCGCGAGTTACCGCCCCATCAGTCTCCTCCCAGCGATAGGCAAACTATACGAACGACCCCGTCGGAAATGCCTCTATAATTTCGTCGCGTCCAATAAAATACTGATCGACGAGCAATTTGGGTTCCGCGCCAAGCACTCGTGCGTCCATCAAGTGCACCGCACGGAGCACATCTCAATAGGGTTGAATAGGCAATCTGGCGAGATATTGCTATTGGACTAAACTAGTGGCTGGAAGTGAACGGTGACCGGTGAAGTCGCAACAGGATGCCGACGGGCAGCGCGAGCAGCACGCGCGGTGCCGCCAGCAGCTCCGCCAGCGCCGGCTCCAGTGATCGCCGCGCCCGCCGCGCCGCCCGCTCCACTGCCGACACCCGCGCGCCCTCCCGCGCCGCCGCGCACTCGCCTCCGCACACGCGGTACACACACACGCGCGCCGGACCTGCGCACACATTACTGCCCTCGTCACCATATCCACCACTATTACTCAAGACGGAATGGGTTCCGGGTCACCAGGAATGTATCCATACATTATAAAAATAATTAGTAAAGAGCAACTCACTTTGACTTACCGTCATCTATGACATTATTATCTATATCATCCTCAATTTCTTCCAGTATAGAGCCCTTGCTTTTTTTCTGAAAAGCGGATAATTTTATGAAGCAGACATTTAAAAGTACGTTTTTCTTTAATTTTAAAACTAATGTTTATTTTTACCTACTTAACCAATTATAGTCTAATGGGCTATTCCAATTACACCCGATCTGGTAGGCGAGTTCACGGGCTTAACCTGACCGAAATGCTAACACTAGCAAGAGCAGTGTTTCGTTAAATCTACCACCTGATCGCAATCGCCACCTATTGAGGAGCTCCGGTGCGGAACTCCGTACATTGTATCTATGGGCTATTTCGCATGTCGAACTCATTCATGAGTCCGACGAGGACAGTGAGGGTTAAATTGTCACATCGCTTTTTCAAAGTAGCGTTCTAACGCTTCCTTAAGGTAGGGTATCGGTTCTAAAATTAGATCGTTGTGAAGGTCGACATTACTCACGGTGCTCTGACAACTGTGTTGCCGGGGCATGTTTGTGGGGCTCACAAATATAATCTTGCATGTTTGTGAATTCCAATATTTCCATTGAATCCATTGAAATGAACAAATTTAAATGGTCCATGGACATCAGTAGGTATCTTATTTATGCACCTTCGAGATATTCCACACAAACCAAGTAAGGTACCGTATACACATGTCTCTGTATTGTTGAACGAAGTGTCAACTGCAGCTAATGAAGCAGCTATGAACCTCTGTGTCGTAGCGCCGCGGCGGCTGCGGAGAGGCGTCGCAAGCCGCGCCCTCGCCGCAACTGTAATGTCACTCACGTTCGACGCAGGGCCCACTACACTGAGTGTAGCGCGGCTCGCTGCTTGTACCCCAACAGATTTCTGATGCCCCTACCTATCAGCCGAGTCATACGCGTGTTTTCTGAGGCCGCAAAAACTTAAAAATAATAACATTTACTGTAAACTGCTTCAAACAATAGTTTTTTTTGAGGTGAAACTTATTTAGGCGCGTTGAGAGTAATATTTAACTCGCGACAGATTCATTACGGCGAGAGAAATACGCTAGATACGCTCAGCCTGTGACGTCAGCCCGCTCAGTGCGAACCCGCCAGCGAGAATGCCGGATCTTCTACATTAAGATTACGACCCGGAGATACATTCGCGAAGCAACCACGGGCCACTAACAACTCATCCTCACTGCAACTTACAACAGCGCTCTAAGTGGAGAGCTTTATACCTGTGGCTTTCCTGCATTCAGCTTTTAGACGTTTGCGTATTACTCCGATTCGCAAGCGTGAAAATAAAGAAGTATATGCGTAATGACATAACGCTAACAGATAAGGAGTAGAGTCATAACTCACGTGCAGGGCCGTACCGTCCGAGGGGAGTTCCGCTCCCCTCCCTAATGAACAAAACACTCCATTAAATACTACAGTCGAGTAGTCGAGTTCGACCTCGTGTACTTCGATGTATGTGAGGGTCGCGGTACGTGGCAGGCGCGGCGCGGGCTGGAGGCGGCCGGGCGGCGCGGCGTCTGCGTGCCCACCGACGCCGTCGCGCGCTGCCGACGCCGCTTCTCCACCACCACCTGTCCGATAACAGCGCCGCACTGTACACGGGGCGAGCCCACAGCGTGCGCCCCCCACCCCCACCCCCCGCACGTGTGCATACCTGCAGGTACGAGGCTGTGTCCTCCGGGGGCGCCGCGCCTGAACTCGATTCTTCTGTGGAACGCTATCATCATTAGGGATAACAGTACATTATATTCAAGTTTTCTGTATTTACGAAGCAGACGAGCACAAAACCCACCTGATGATGAGTGGTAAGCATTTCTCATGGACAGCAGCAACGTCATAAGGATATATGTTTGTTACTCCCTGCTGAAGACTCTTCACCAACTGCGTCACTGCGCCCCTTCAAGCTACTTGTAACGGTTGTTCTCTCTCTATCCGCATTACTAGGATACTAGTTATTATTCAAACAGGATGAATATGTATTTAAATATATACGTGCACGAATGATCTTAAAATAAAAATCGAGATTAACCTAAAGTTGCATTTCCTGTCTGTACCTCGTTGATCTCTGCGTCTCGGTGTGAACTGGAAACGGTGACTTGAGACATTTTAATGTGTTTCTAAATGTAATGGTATATAAAGTTAAACTTCAATTAGGTTTATGTAAATAGCAACGTCGTGGCTAGTCAAGCTCACTGAAGTAACTATATAGGTCTATGGTCAACTCGACTCGTGATGCCACAATTTTGACAACTGACAGAGTCATAATAGGTTGGGGAAAAAGTTTCTTCGCATTTTTTTTAAAGAAAATTAACATTTTTTTTAATATAGTTTATTTACATTTAACTAAAGTATGTAGGTACAGCTCATAATGAATAATACCCTTCCATTCCCACCACACACAGCATCACCTTGTTGCGAGCTAACCCGGGTTTCGCCACAGTCTGTGAAGCCTGACCGGCCTTTGACCACGACCTTTTTCGTACGATCTTGTCGTACGTTATCCACTTTTCATCACCAGTTATCAGCTTGTTCAAAAATGGTTCGGTACTCTCACAGACACTGTACTAGGTCCATAAGCATCGAAATTTTTTTTCGTCGCTTGCTTTGTTTTTTGACCTTTTTTGTTGTAAAATTTTGAAATGTATCGAATTTCTTCATTAGATTCACATATCTTAACAGTACGAAAAATAAATGAAAATCCTATTTTCCTAAATTGAATTTGGAATTATCTTCTTTAAAGGACAATGCCCATTTTCTTAGGGCGTTTGAGCCCCTAAAAAAAAAAAAAAAGTTGGGTCATGATGGTTTTAACTTAATTTTCAATTTTCGTTTCATATTCAGAAAACGATTTTTATATTTTCACCCAGGTTTAAGGGAAATCTGTTTTTTTCTGCAGCTAAAATTAAGTTGTGAATAGTTTTCGTCGAAATCAATAATCGCTATCATAATTAGTTACAGTATTAAATAAGTTAATTGTATATTGTGTAATAATAATAATTATTATTTAAAACCATGAATTATTTAATATTTTTAGACATTAACGACTTATTAGTAAAAATTTCAATGGTCCACCATTACTTATTCTTATTATCTATGGTCAGAGTGTTTTGGCAGCAACCCGAGTGAAGCGTCACTTGAAGTTTTATTTTAATTTATTTTTAATGGTTTCTTGACATGTGATTATATGTAAATTGAGTGTTGTTTTGGGTATTTAAGGTCTAAAGAGTTTTAATAAAAGTGTGGAATAAAAACTGTGGCTAAGAAGCAGGGACTTTTTTTTTTTGTCAAGATAAAAATCGTGAATTCACTGCGAGTCAAAATAAATAAAAAAAAAAAATTCAATAAAAAGATATATACAGACTAGGCTGTATAGGCTACGCTCTTTACCTGCCGATTGGCGAATTTAAAAACAGCAACAACAATATCGTTGCCGGCTTCCGGATTTTCATTTCCGAAAGAAGGGTCAATGAAGTTCATTCTCAGAAACCACTTTCATTATGAGGAGATAATAATTATTAAGAAAAAAAAAAAAATGCCACCATGCATATAAGGGTCTTATTTAGCGAAAATAGC